GTGTCAGGGACTCCCCCTCCCCACCAATCTTATATCCATTAGCTAAGTCTCTTTGTATCTGCCCTATCACTTATTCATGATCAGCTAGATCAATCTGTCGAAAAGTGCATTTATTGAAACCTGATCCTGGCTTTGTCTGGATTGTGAGGGCCTTACTAGCCCAATCTCTGCTGCGTGGTTTCCAACCACAAAGCCCATTGAGGCTGAGAAGAGAGCTGGCTTAGTGCAATGCTGCTTCCAAGCCTAGGAGCATATGGAGCCATCACCAGGAAAAACACAAGGCTTGGATACCTAATACCCATTGAGCAGCCTCAATGTGCCAGGAGGACAAAGGTGTGTATACACAATATTTATAGTACCAACAGGAATTTTTGACTTGGGCTCACAGTGTAGAGGGGTCCATTTTTGAGACATCCCTGCCCCTTGCAGAATAGCTGGAGCAGTGATTGGGTATATTTACCCAAACCAAGGCGCTGCAAGAGCCTCTCGTAGCACTGTGTTTGCAGGTAGGTCTAGAGACTGAGCGTGCCATGCCCATTCACAACATCACCAAAACCCTCCTATAGTGGAAAACAAGTGGGCAATTGTGACCATCTTTAAGGTGTCTTCCAACCAAAGGCACTTTTCCTCTCTGAGTAACTCCTGGAAAATTGATGCACCCATCATGGTTGTAGCCTCTGTGGAGCATGTAACTCTTGGGAGTTGTGCAGGTTTGTGCATGAGGAGGAATGGGGCATGTGAGAGCTGTCAGAGAGATGCAACACTACTACCTGTCCCCTAAAATCCTGGGGCAGCTCATTCTTGCTTGCATATGAGAAGAAGCAGTTTCCAGAAGAGAGAGGAGGTCCTGGGGGAACGTGAAGATTCAAGGGTAGTCCAGACTACACAAATAAGAGGAGAGCAGGACATGATTACTTTTTTCTGAAGTGTGGTACAGTTGCAGAGCAGTGGCTTGCTCATGTCAATCCCTGATCGTGTCTCCTGCTGGACTGGGAGGCTGTGGAGCAGCAAAGGCACCTGCAGGTACAGAGTTCTGTGTCTTGGCCTCTGCTGTTCTCTTTGCCTTCAGTAGCTGGATAGCTGATGAGGAGGGTGCACCCGCTGGTAGCCACACACTCTGCTTTAATGTGTTTTCTTCTGCAGGCAGGGTTGTGTGCTGTTTGTCTGACTCTACGCCCTCTCCCTGGGGTATGGGGTACAAGATCTCCCCTATCTTTTCCCTGCTGACACAGTATGCTGCATCTGCTGAGATGCAGGTACAGGTGTGTAAAAGCAAGTGATAACTCCCAGTGTCTGTCACTCTAAAAAAAGGCACAGAAAGCCAAAGAAATCTGTGTCTTCAAGTGATTTCTCTCTATCATGAATACTAGGAAATGTTATTTATTTCCAAGTCTAGGACCCCAAAGTGCCAGGTGTTACGTGAACAGAGAAAAACGGCATCCTCCAGTTTAACGTCCACAGTGGAAGACTGCGTGGTGTGAGAGTGAGGCAGCGCTGATGAAACAGTACTCTCAGTATGCAAGCAACTTTATTTTCTAAATTATAACCCCCATGTTATGGGATCAGTTTTCAGGATTGTGCTTTGCTATGCAGTTTGTGGAAAGGCCAGTTCATGGACAGATTGTTACTGAGGCCATAGGAATGAGGATGCTGGTCTCTGAGAATTGATTTAACATCTGAATGACCTACCCTTCATACAGGACCTCTGGTACATTGCTACTTTATTCTTTCTTTCAGTACCTGCTGTTGTTGCTCCAGTTAAAACAACCCCCCTAATAAACTCCTAGTTAAAAGAAGGATTGGGAGGGGATGAGCTATTCTCATTATATAAGGGGCTTAAGTTCACTGTATCATCAGTAATCAGCCAGCTTTAGTCGATGGAAAGTGGTTACACAAAATCATCACTCTGCTGTTCCATAGCTCTCTTTTAAGGTGTTCTCTTCAAATCAGTGATTGCTTGTTGCTTCATTTTGTTAAACTATTTTGTCTCTGGGTGTGGGTAAGACCATCTATATCCCAGTTTGAAAATTTAAGTGTTTTTACTCATGTGCTTGGAGAGCAGACGTTTTCCCATCACCTGTAGTCCCTGTGGGAGCTGGGACCCCCCAGAGCTGCCCTTGCTTCTCCCATGGAAGCTCAGCCTTGCTGCCTGGCAGTTCTTGGAAGTTTTCTGCTCAATTTAATCCTTTCAACTGATCAATGAAATATGTGGTATTGGGGGAGAGGGGAGTGAGGTGAGGGCAGTTTCTTTGGTGTCACCATCTGTTTCTGTATTTAGTCAAGGCTCCGTGGGGAATTTCATGTTTAGAAAAAAAGGCTGCTGGAAGGACATGCACTAAAACAAACTCGGCCTTTCAGGAAATAGGGGCTATGCTGGGCAGAAGTTACAATAATTATTTGCTCTGTGGTTCCTCTTCTGGCTGACTTGGCATGATGCTCCTTTTGGAAACATCAATGTGTGCAGTTATTCTACTGGGCAGAGGCAATTGCTGTTGTAAAAACGGCTGCAACATCACAGTAAACTGAAGTAGTTCTGGGCAGCTGAAGTGCCACAGTGCCTGGCAGTTTCATTGTGTTGCCTTCTACTCCTTAGCAGCACACAGAAGGATCTGCCGTAAGCCTGTAGGAAATGGTGCAATATTGTACAAAACAACTATGTCTCCTTTTGGGAGTATTTGTTACTACTTTTGGACATGGACTTCTGCTGGGAAAGGGGTTTGGGTCAGCCTGGGCTTTCTGATAATTTCCAGGTGTTGAAGATACCAGAGGGGTTTCACTGTCCATCTCCTCTCTTTTTTCCTTTTAAATAATACCTAATAAATAACAGTGTTCATGCCCATAGAGAGTCTCTTGTGTGTCAGATTACCAACTTCCTCTATTTCCAGATGAATTTCTGAGCTCAGGGAGTGGAAAGTGTGTGTAACCTGGACCCGATGGTCTGCAGGGCCAGACTGCATAAGGTTCTGTGAGCATGGCACACTCCGAATGCTGGTTTGTGTGCATGCCGTGGCATTGGGGTGCAGCATGTCTGGGAGGGTGCAGGCCTGGCTCCTAATTAAACTGCACCTGCCTGCAGGCTCTCATCTATGTGCTCCTGGGTTACTGGTGTCTGAAGGCATTGAAATGCACTGCCAGGAATGAGTGTTAGCAGTAAGTGTATTAGAAAGGGTTTTCTTTCATCCCAGTGTTGGGAACTGCAGACATAACTTTGCTGTTTTGTGATTGTTTGCTCTTGATACCATGATGATAGTAGGAGCCTTTGGTGAAAATAGCATAAATATCTTTTGCTAACACATGTTCTGTTCATATGTTTGTGTGGAATCATCAGAATGTGGTTTGGGAAATGGATGATTTCTCAACAGTGATATCTTGCCCAAATGCCTCAGGACTCTTTGTCTCGAGCGTGAGGAGTTTCAGAAAATGTAAGAGGATGTCAGGAAGAGCTCTAATACAGTTCCTCAAAATCTGTATTCAATGCATTGTTTACCAGCTCACTGGGACCTTGAAACTCGAATCTGCAACATAAGAAAATGTTTCTTTCTATCGCTCTAGCTCACTGGTCATGAGGGTGATCTTTGCTTACCATCCTTGGGTTTAGGTACTGACCAGATGCACTGGTGCTTTTCATTCACTTGGTCTGGGGAAATTAATCTGCCTGTTGTCAAAACTCTAGAGCAGAACACAGCAGCAACAGTAGACTTGTGTAGGCTTTTAAACATGTCATTAAAACAAGTTCCTTTATTGGGAGGAGTAGAGGTTGACCAATAGACATATCTTCTATAGTAAGGAAAATCCAGGGTACTGAAGTGTTTAAAGTGACTAACGAAGTTTTTAAAAAAGCCGACCTAAACTAAAATAAATCATTAAAAATAGAATTAGTGTTCCACATTCTGAATAATGTAATATAGAAATACTGTTGCATCTCTTTAAACATAATAACCCTATAAGCAAAGAGCTAATGGTGCTGACGGGTTTAAGAGGATAGGAAGGGCTTTTATAATCAATAACTTAGGGACAGAAAACAAATTAGGAAGAAAGTTGGTCTATGAATCGATGAAAAGCGGGATGGCCTTAACATTACTCAACAGTTCAGCACTTTGGCTTTTTCTCAGTACTTATCTAAGCAGAGTTTATGTGATTTCTATGGAAAGACATGGAACAGATTAGTTTGCAATAACTGAAATGCAGTGTGATGTTATGCCTAATTCTGCACAATTGCAGGTCATGCTCTCCCTGGTTTGCCTGCACGCTCCTGCT